TCCCAGCCCTTTTCATTTTTTATTTTGAGACAGTCTCCCTAAGTTGCCCAGGCTGGCCTCAAACTTGCAATTCTATTGCCTCAGCCTCCAGAGTAGCTAGGATTACAGGTGGGCACCACCATGCTCAGTGCTAGTTCTAATCTTAGATGAATAGCATCTCTTGAATATTGATAACACATGTTACTACCTTAAAATTAATTAATTCCCAAAGTCTAACAATTTTAAGAAAAGTACACTGTAGTCTAACATATAGCCCAAAGAACATTTGTGGATTTAATATCCTATAGCTGGCCAGTACTCTGGTGTTTTACTTGATGTTTTTACATAAAAGGTACCCAGTGATAAAGTCTTATCTCTAGTACCTATATTCTGCAAATGATGAATTATGAGTAACCACAAGGCATGGAGACTTTTTCATATTAGGCTTCTAAGGATTCTCATGACTCTACCGGCACAGCCTAGATTCAATCTTCATTCCATGGCATGTGCTCTCTGTGCATTCACAGTATGGCTATTTTAGGATACAAGATAGTTCTTACTCTGTTGTATTTAGGGTTCTCATGGAAAGCATAGCTGTCATGACCACTTTGAATGATTGGCATTCAAAACAAATTTGTACTTGAGCTTCATGGTTTATTGTATAAAACATCATTATTATTTTTAGCAGTTCAAAAATACAAATACATATCACAAAAAAATCCCTGAGATTCCAAAGGATAACAAGAATATTTTAGTATAAGCAGAATCCATCTGAATTATTGAGGCTATAAACAAGCACTTCTCAAGCTGGCCTATGAATCAAGGTAGAGATTGGCTTCAAGTACCAATTATGGAGTCTATGACACTTGTGGGAGAGTTGAGTACCAAAAAGGGACAGTCAGTCTTAAACATAAGGTGACATGTAGAGAGGAAGTAGAATGGTGAAAAGAAGCCATGAACTGCTCAATAGCCATACTACAATGAGCTCACATGGCTTAATTAAGACTTAAGAGGTCTGAGAGTTTCACAATCACTAGAATATAATTTTGAACTGAAACAAAAAATTTTAAAGCACGTATGAAAATACCCTAATCAAGGATAAGAGATGGCAGAAGGTGGCAGATGATTAAAGAAGCTCAGGACATGAACAACACACAAACTAWTTTTAAAGAATGAGTTGATCCTAGTGATTCAGAAATAATACTCGGAAAAAACATGCTTTCCTACATATATATTATCTCCTAAAAATGGTGAAAAACACTCATGTATTAATTCTTGTATTTCTAGAAAAGTGAGGCAGGGAAAATAAGATAAAGAAGCCTCTAACTGCTGTAAAAATCAAACAAGCAAGCAACTCCCCCAAACAAATCAGCACCACCAACAGCAGAAAACACAAAAACAAAAACTGAATATTAACAGCCTCAAATCTCTTTCAGGGGTAAGACAGAGCATGTAAATAAGTAACAAAAGCCAAAGAAATAAAACGTAATTGTGTTAACTGAAATAGGGGTGTAGTTTGTGGTTTTATCATAGGAAACTTCTTTGACTCAAGATTTCAAAATTGCTGCACCATCAGATCAATCGTATGGGAGAATATTTCCCCAGAGTTAATATCTAATATCACATAACACTTGTGTGATAAAAATATATGATAAAAATTTAAGTCATTATTTGAATGACTTACATGAACACACATTAAAAAGGCAGCATCTCAGCCCTCCCCTGGGCCTACATGGGTGCTGGGTTTGGGAATCTTTAGACCTGTGGCTGTTTGAATTAGAGATGTCCAGAATGCTGTCTGCCACCCCCTGGTGACCCTGTGCTCACTATGGATCCCTCCAAACAAGCCTCTTCTATGACCTTAGGCATGGCCTAGCCTCTTTACCCAATGTTAAAAAGAACCACCAGTGATCCCAGGGCAGAGGGAAAGATGCCTAATCTTACTTTACTTCTACAGCCTGCACGGTGGCTAGCTGACAACTTTACCATAAACAATTAGGTTTTCCTTCAGGCCTGATTGGGAGAATGGAATAAGGCGAAGGTACCTCATCAGCAAAACTCAACTCTAGAATTGAGAATGTTCCTTCTGTTTTCTCATCCATCTGTCAGGAAATGTGTCTCTGGTTTTATTTTCAGCTTACTTCAAAGGGTAAGCTTGAAAGTAGAATTATTTCTGACTAATAGAGAAAATGTTTTTTGAACTCAAATATATAAGGTCTCTGCTCTTTCTATATAATCTCACAGCTAAGCCAAGAGCCAGCAACTGTTCATACAAATAAAAGGTTTTGGAGGGAGAAAAAAAAAAGACTTACTTTCTTCTTTCTTGCTAATAATGGCAGGCAGGGTATAAATCTAAAAAACAAAGGATGTCAATAAGTTACTTGCAGTTAATGACCCAGCACACAAAGATTGGCAAGATGATGTTTGCACACAAAGACACAAAGGAGGTACCTTGACTTCAAGGCCTATTACTGCTGTGTGCACAGCGCCATCTGCTTACCTTGTCAACAGACCCACTCCTCGCGGTGAGGCCAGTATGGCTTCCCACACCTTTCCATCCTGGCAGTCCTGCCCTTGGCTAAGCTTTACCACTATATGCTTCTCATTCTTTTCACCAATGTGATGCATAACATACCTTTTTCAGGAAGTATCTCACACACCTGTCACCTGACTGTTCCTTCCTCAGACCATCTGCTTAGTACCTGGTTCTCAATGTGCATAATGGAAACTTGTACTGGCTGAGCTCACAAACTGTCCCCTAAATTTGCTGTAGGTAAGGGCTCCTCAACCATTGTGGTAAAGAGCCACTTTAAAAGAAAAAAAAAAGGAACCTATCAGTAACGTTTTAGTAAAATATAATAAAATTGAAATAGAAAACAGTTAAGAATAGATGCAGAATCTCAATTTTTTTATTATAATTATTAAATTCAGCAGACCTAAAATGAGTCCTTCAAGTGACTACATGATTTTTCCAAAGGCTGAGTCATGACCTCTATGCTCACCCTATCACAGGGCTGGTGCCATGTGAGGGAGGCCACTGAGTCTGCAGAACCTATTGTGATATCACGGCTGCCACAGGAGCACTTTACTCAGCATTGTGGGCAGGTTCTCTGCTATCTCAGGAAGGGTCTCAAGTGACAGGAAGGCACTTCCTGTTCACTCTGTGTGCTCACCTTCTACAGAGCTATCAACAGTGTTCACCAAGAAAATTAAGTGATGAACGACCCAATTTTTTTTTATATAAGCCTCTCTATACTTGTAAGTAAGTTATCACATCAGTGTCAAATAACAGAAAACAAGGATATGCATGGCAGAGGATATATCCTGGCTCAGACAGTTTTACCAAATATACTTCTTTACAAATGGACTGACTCTGAATCCTGTTCTTTTCTCTGATCGCAATGCCTAACACAGGTCTTGCAACAATTGGGCGTGCACTAATTATTAATTGTATAAAATAGTATGAGTGCAGCCCAATTAATGATTATAAATATTTTTAAAGTAATTTTAGGGTTTTAAATTATTCCTAGAAGGTCCCTGAAAGGCAAGATAGAAGGTTGGAGTGATGAGCTGGTTACTGAGTCAACACTAGGAACACAGTGCAAGTTGCCACTTTTCTAATAATTTCCATATTTTCAATTGTCCAATAGACACATGAAAAAAATTTCAGATGCACTTTGAAATGTTAAAATAATAAAACCTAAATTATAGAATGAGTCAAATTCTTACCGGTTCCTTCCCATCCATGGCTTCAAGCCAAAGCTTCCTATTAGCTTCAGAAAAGGCCTGTAATGTAATGATCCCATGCCTGCCAAAAAAAGACACTTAATATATACATTTATTCCTGTTACGTCTTTATACATTTGCTAATGTTCAAATTCCTACTTAACAATAAAGGTATTACATTTTGAAGAGTAAAAAGAAGAGAGAGAAAAGCTAGAATAAAAAAATAAAAGTTTTGCAAGAATCAATAAATGGGATGGATTCAAACTCAAAAGCTTCTTCTTAGCAAAAGAAACAATCAGTGAGATGAATAGAGAGCCTACAGAATGGGAGAAAATCTTTACCACAAGCACATCAATTAGAACACTAATCTTTAGGATATATAAACACTCAAAAACCTTAATACCAAAAAACCAAATAACCCAACCAATAAATGGGCCAAGGAACTGAAGAGACACTTTTCAGAAAAGGATATACAATCAATCAACAAACATATGAAAAAATGTTCAACATCTCTAGCAATTAGAGAAATGCAAATCAAAACTACTCTAAGATTTCATCTCACTCCAGTCAGAATGGCAGCTATTCAAGAATACAAACAACAATAAGTGCTGGTGAGGATGTGGGGGGAAAAGGTACACTCAAACATTGTTGGTGGGACTGCAAATTGGTGCAGCTAATATGGAAAGCAGTATGGAGATTCTTTGGAAAATTGGGAATGGAAAAACCATTTGACCTAGCTATCCCTCTCCTTGGTTTATACCCAAAGACTTAAAAACAGCATACTATAGGGACACAGACACATCAATGTTTATAGTAGCACAATTCACAATAGCTAAACTGTGGAATCAACCTACATGCCCTTCAATAGATGAATGGATAAAAAATGTGGCATATATACACAATAGAATATTATTCAGCAATAAAAGAGAATAAAATCATGGCTTTACAGGTAAATGGATGGAGTTAGAGAAGATAATGCTAAGTGAAGTTAGCCAATCCCCAAAAAACAAATGCCAAATATTTTCTTTGATACAAGGAGGCTAATTCATAGTGGGGTCATGGAAGGAATAGACAAACTCTAGATAGAGCAAAGGGGTGGGAGGGGAAGGAAGGGAGCATGGGTTAGAAATGATGGTGGAATGTGATGAACATCAATAGTTGAAGTACATGTAGTAAGACATGAATTTGTGTGAATATACTTTGTATACAACCAGAGATAAAAAAAATTTGTGCTCTATATGTGTAATATGAATTGTAATGCATCCCACTGTCATTTATAAATCAAAATATTAATTAAAAAACCAACCAAAACAAAGTAAAAAGCAAAATTCAAACCTTTCAACTACTTCAATGTCAAAGCAGAATCGTTTATCAATTGAGTCTGTCTTTCGTCGGATACAAGATTTTAACTTAAACATTTCTGGTGAACTAGTAACAAGGCCATTCTGAAACAAGAGGAGCACCGCATTATTACAGGACCAAGTGAACTGAAATACATTAAGTACATGGTAAAGTAGCCAGATTAAGATGTTAGCTTAACAATATAAGTTATGCATAAAGGTCATAATCATACTTTTATTCCTCCCTAATGTTGGCTGCCCAATTATAATATATCAAACCATTTATTAATTAATTGCACATTGATGTTTTATTTCAAAGAATTTTGTGACAGGCCTGTCCAGTACCTTGCAGCACATTTACTTATAATGTTGTTATACTGTACAATACCCTTAGGACTTTGGGTTTCAAAAAGGTATGAAATTACAGTTATTGTAACATCATAGTTGTATATGGAGAATGTTCAGATAGAACACTGCTTTTCTTAATCAAAATTCCTTAGATTGCCAAGAGATTAGTATCATGTGAGCACATCTTTATTTTAGAGTCTTATGTTATAAAATGACAGCTAGCTCAAAGTCACAGAAGAGCTACCAAAACAATAAAGTTACAGCACACACTTACTATACCACTACTGCAGCATACATCCACATGATTGCTTTTGCTGGTAACCAACTGTACTCTACTACTAAATCAGAAACTCTTTGAAAGGGACCAAACCTGGGCCCAATGCATAGGAAAGCTCTTCTGTGCCTGGGATGCCAATCTTTTCCAAGGGGAACGTTTATCCAGTGTCTGGTTAATTCTGTCTTTGGTTACAGATATCAGATTTATGAACAGACTTTGGCTTGGTCTATTTGCATTAACTGCCCAACAGTCACCTATGTTGAATTTCTGGCAATCATTATGCTAGAGAACAGAAACTAGCTGTGATTATGGCACTGAGTAACTTCCCATGATGACAGTGATTCAGGGTTTCTTTTTCTCTGGTATTTTCTCCTTTATTTTACGTCTTTCAGTTTGAATTATTAGACTCCAGTGAATGCCCCAGCACAATAAGTTTCGGCTGACATATTTGAATATGTGTCTAACTTAGATCAACATTTACCTCTGCCATGATCTATACTAGAAATTAGCTGGGTGAGTCACTTCTTTCTAAAAACTTTCCTGATCTGTTAAAAATAAGACAAAACTATCTTTAGGATAACTCTCAGCCCCAGGATTCTTAGATCATGGCCTAATGATGTAATTCACAAGTTTAATTATTTGCCATATTCACCTGTTAACTCACAAGTACTGTATGCGGTAAAGCTCTCTACAGCATTTCCTCAAATAAAGTATACAATGTCCTATACTGTTGACTAGCCACGCAAGACATTCAGGGACCAAATTACTTTAGGGATAAATGAGCATCAGTTGGTTTCTTCTGAGAAACTCCTTGGCCAGCATTTTGGTAAACAGTAAACAGTGCAAAAGAGGTAAGGACACTCAAGTGCACATGTAACCTCTGCAGGAGCCACAGAGGGAAAAATGCAGAATCCTCCAGCCTGGTTCAGTCACTGACCGTCCCTTCCTGGGCTGTTAGCCAACCGGCAGTGCAGACCAATAACTCTGCTGCCAGGGACATGAGATGACACCTTGATAATCTATTGAAGGACCCCTACATTTAACTCAACTGCTTATAAACATTTCATGACCAAGTATAGAGAAACTCTGCCCACTCTTTTTAAATTATTAAGGTCACTAAAATTCGAGGAAAAAAAATGAGAAAGGTTTTTGAATTTTCAACTTTAAAAAACGTGTATGTTTTTAGAAAAGCAAGCCTATGTCTATGTTGTTTTATTTCCATTACCTACACAACAAGCTTAGTTAAAAAACAAACAAATAAACAAAAAAGCAAAACAAACTCACCATTTTCCCACTGGATTTCATTTCTGAAACACTCATCGTAAATGTTTTACTTCCCTTATCGTATGTACAGTAATGTTTAGTCCATGTGAAGCCAAGTGGTCCTAAGGTAAGGAAACAAAAATATTTTGAATTTTAACAAATGCTTTGAATCTAAGTTTGTACACTGACACACCAATTAAGTTATCTCCATACACCACGGAAGGCTGGGATATTTACTGTGAAAAAGGCCAGTTAAAGAAGAGCAGGAGAGGGTACCGCATATAGGAAGCAAACAATTCGGCTTTCCTGGAGCTCCCACACTGGCTCTGCAAGCTCAAGGGCAGGTTTAGATCTGAACTGAGCTGTCTTATCTGAAAAGGTAGTATATAACCAGCTTTCCATATCTGCCATTCTGAATCTGCAATCCCAACAGACTGCAGACTGAAAATATCTGGGCGGTGGGGGGAACCTACCTGCATTGAACATGAACAAAGTTTTTTCTTGTCATTATTCCCTAAGCAATATAATATAACCACTATTTACACAACATTTACATTGCATTTGGTATTATAGTCTAAAGATAATTTAAAGTGTAAGAAGGGTGTTTGTAGGTTATATGCAATTTTATGTAAGATTTGAGCCTCTTTGGAATATGCTATCCACATGGGATCCTGGAACCAATCCTCCCTGAGATACCAAGAAACAAATGTACTTGTCCTCCAAAGATGTAGAAAGAATAATAAATAGTCCAAGTGATTAAAAATTATTTCCCCTACATCTACTCTTGTTCTCTACTCTAGAAATTGTCAGAAAATATCCTGCTAAATATTAAGCCAGGTCAGTTCACTCCTTTGTTCAAAACCCTCCCATGGTTTCCCAGATCACTCCAATTAAAAACCAAAGAGCCTATTATGCAGTAGGCTCCATATAATATGGCCTCTCATTCTGTTGTTGTTTTTTTTAAATTTTTATTTGTTCTTCTTAGTTTTACATGACAGTAGGATGTATTTTGACATATCATATATACATGGCATATAACTTCCCCTTCTGTGGTTGTACATGATTGGTCATGTATTCATATATCTCATGCTGTTCTCACCTCACACCCAAATGTTTTCTGCCTCACATAGGCTGATCCAGCTACACTGGTTCCCTTCCTGGTCCTTGAGCACAGTGAATGAGTCCTACCCCAGGACACTTACACTGGCTACTCCTCCAGCCTGAACTACCTTTCCTTCAGGTATCTGATAACTTGTCCTGTCACTTCCTTCAGGTCTCTTCCTTCATGTCACCTTCATAATACACATTTTCCTATAGAATAGCTAACATCTCAACACCCTCAACCTTGATAGTTCTTATCTTTCTTTCTTGTTTTCCTTTCTTCTTAGCAGTTATAACTGCTAAACATGATAAATCWTACGAATTTATGTATTTCCTATCTCTGTCATGATATTGTACAAGTCTCTAAGAGCAGGATATGATTAGTTGAACTAGAATATTCATAATCCTTAGAACATGGTCAAAAAAATATTTGACAAAAGAATAAAGGAATGATTGATTGCATCCTGCTCTAAGACCTTCCTGACCCTGGAGTTGTCTCCTCTTACCACTAACATGAAAGAAAACAAATTCATTTTACTCCTTAAAATGAAAATAATTTCCACCATTTATATTTAAAGGAACTTATAGGACTGGGAATGTAACTCAGAGAGAGCTTGCCTAGATGCAGGAGGCCATGTATTCAATCCCCAGTGCCCCCCCCCAATAAGTAAAATATATATTTTTATAAAGGAAGCTTGCATCTGTGTAGTGTTCACCTTGCTTTCCCCACTGTGCAGCCTTCTCCCCTGGCACACCATGGTACAGCCCAGTGCTCTCCTTAAACAATGTGGATGCTGCTGCTTTGCCAGAGGATAGGATATATTGTTAGTTCAACCTTTTTAGGACCAAAGCAGAAGTCCTTCAGTTTTCCCACAGGGTCACTAAGTGTTCTGTACTCAAATGCCGCAGTGGGCTGAGTGGCTGAAAATTGAGCTTATTTTCTATAAAGCTTCTTCATCTAGGGACCCATCTTGCTTAACACCTGGATTTCTCTAGCAACAAATGTGCACAATTGTTATTGCTGGCATGATTTCAGGACCACAGATTTAGAAGCAAGAAATTGAAATATTAAAAAATTCACCTCTTTAGAAAAGTATTCCATGAGCCATTTGCATTCTTTTTCCTTAATAATGGTGCCCTTGGTGTCAAGTTTAACATGAATACTTAAGCCACTCCAGATTTTCAAATTACAGGGCACAGCATATACTTTATAATTACAAGCGATTATTGCAATTAACTTCAGTTCCGTTTTGAGATCATGTTATACTATAATACTTAACGATACTTGTTGATAACTCTTTTATGTGTGATATAAATACTTAAAGACTTAGAATTGATTAGTAKAAAATGGCTGGATGGAAATTCATGGTGACTTTAGTACTTAGGTAGCAACTTCAGAAGCATTATTAGCTATAATTTTAAAATAAGCTCCTGCAATGCCCTGATGATATTTTAGACTTAAGATGTTTTTTCCTGCCTCCATCTTAAGTTTGAAACCTCCCACATTTAATGGCCAAGTTTGCTGCACACACATGCTGCTTCCCTTAGAGCCGCCTGGCAGTCAGCCAGGACAGATGTTCTTAGACAAGCAATTCTGAACTCCCTGTAAGTGTCTGGGAAAATAAAAATTTACTGTAGCTCTAAATTTGCAAAATAAAAGAAGTTTAATTATCTTACCTAGTCATCATCTCAGGTTGCTGAGATGAGCGTCTGAGGAGTGGGAGGGGAATTAATATTCACCAAATACCTACTAGGTGCCTGCAATTTTATCTAAGAACATTTTGAGTCAGACATTATAAACAGCATTTTATGTACAATAAAACTGAGCCTAGATGCTGCAGAGAATAGTTTCTTCAAGAGGACATGTGATTACATTTGTTCCTTTTAGAGAAATGATACTCTTAGTTGTTTCAAGAATTAAATGAGGGCTTGGGTTGTGGCTTAGTGGTAGTGCGCTGTCTAGCATGTGTGAGGTACTGGGTTTCATTCTCAGTACTGCATAAAAATAAAAATAAAAATAAAATAAAGGTCCATCAACATCTAAAACAAAATTCTTAAAAAAGAATTAAATGAGATGAATTTACATTGCCTAGAATAGTTAGGGCTCCGGTAAGCATAATGCTATTTTTTGGGGGGTACTGGTGATTGAACCCAGGGACACATGACCACTGAGCCACATTCCCAGCCCTATTTTGTATTTTATGTAGAGACAGGGTCTCACTGAGTTGTTTGGTGCCTCGCTTTTTGCTGAGGCTAGCTTTGAACTGGAGATCCTCCTGCCTCAGTCTCCTGAGCCACTGGGATTACAGGTGTGCACCACCATGCCTGGCCCTAATGCTATCTTTAATACCATCACTGAAAATAGAGACATCTTATAAATATTATCTCTAATTCTTGCAACACCATTAGGAAATAAGAATAAATATCCCTTTTATGAGTGGAGAGACAGCTCAGAAAAAGAGGGAATATGCATTTCAAAAGTCACAGAGTTAGTGAGCAGACATGGAATTCCAACAGAGTAATGACTTTGGGACTCCTGCTCTTTCTGGTAAATTGAAGTCTGTTCAAATGTGATTTGACACATGTCTAGAGGCAGATAACATAAAATACATACCCAGATAAAGTGGAGATCTGTGTCCAAACTATAGTGATCTGCTTCTACTCTGTCATGCCCATCACTATTTACCACTCCATTTAAGACCTTGATATTTTAATGACTGCTAATTGTGTGAGTTTGTCTTATGCCTTCATTACAAACAAAACAAAAGCAGCAGAAGAAGCAAATCCTGAAGCCAAATTCTTTATCCCATTTTCTGTCTCCAACAGAACTGACATGTTCAGTGAGAGTGAGCACACAATCCATGACATCTTAATTAGATTCTCTTATCATAAATGCTCTCCAGTTGGATGGGGCTTTGAATTTTTTCCCCTTACAGAAAAGTAATTCCCAAAGCATATAAACAGATACACTTTTCTTTTTAAACCCCAGGCAAGGGGAATTTGGGAAGGCAGTAGGTGGAAAAAAACAGGAGGAAGGGATTGTGAAGGTGATGAGCACACTTATCAGGTTGGATAGTGGTGTGGATGGAGAGATGCAAACATGGTGAGACTTATCAAACTGTACACTTGAAATTAGTGTGATTTATTGTATGTCAATTATACATAAAAATCAAAAAAATATGTGGGCAGATAACAGAGAAAGACAAGGTGAAAACTGTGTTGGGGATACAATATCAAAGAAGAGGTGTTAAAAGGGGGAAGAGTCTGACTGAGAGCTTTCAGCATCAGGCAGGGCCCAGGCCACTGCAGCAGGGCAGAACTCACCAGCACTTTAGGAGGATCTGCTGAAAGTTCTAGAGGGGACATATTCCAGGGTGGGGAAAAGAAGTCAAGAAATAAACTGTTATCAGGTTAGAATGAACAAAAATTCTGTAGACACAAGGAAGGAACCTCTTCTACCCCTACTGCAAGTCTGAAGAACACTTACTGTCAACAAATCCTTCCTCCATTTAGCCAAAGTCATCATTAATGTAAAAAGTGACTCCTCCCAATAGACCCTTATACCAAGGATTGCAAACCAGAAAGATTTAAAATAAATATTTTAAAATTCCCTTAGAGACTCAAGCCAAATCTTTATACCCTATATGTSAACCAATGGATTGCTCCTTCTTCATGAACTCGGGGGTGGAAGTTACACCTTATGCTCTAATTATAGAGCAGCTAGGAATGGCCAAAGTAGATTTATGAGAGAAAAAAAAAATTAGGAGCCCAGATCTCCTAAGCCGGCATCTCTTCGCTGAGTCTGTTGATCAAATTATTTGCTTGTAAACGATATCCAACAATGGAGCATCACCTGGGAATCTCAAATGCAAAAATTATTGGCATTTTAGTGACCACGTTGCATATATTTAAAAACTTTTCATGGCCAACCTAGTATCTCTGGGAATCCTCATCAAAAACCCTTTAAGTTATTATACCAACCAAGAGAACTTCACTGCTCTTTAGCCTACTGACATGGAGATGTTAAAGAAGTGGTACTCCATGTGGTTTGTGAGTTCCAATGTGTGAGAAGAAGGAATGTGCATGTCAAAATATTTGTAGCAATTTGACCTTGATGCACAATCTAAGCACATGAGTTTGTATTTAACAAAGACACTGGTCCATGAGAGACTGAGAATAAAATGATTGTTCCTTCAACATGAACAGTACAAGTACAGCACTTTAGGGAAAATCTAATTTGAAACAGAGTTAACTCAGTCAAAAGAGGCAAACTGGTTTCCACTTAAGGGAAGTAACATGCAGAAAGGAGCCTAGTTATACAAGTTTAAATGGCTTTTAAAAAATTTTTTGTGAGAAAAACCTTTGCATGAAGCAATTATAATAATGCTCTATTTGATCTAGTACTTATTTCTTAACCTCAGGAAGTAAAGAGTGTCAATGTGACATGACATAATTACCAATTTTACTCCTGAAAACTGGCAGCGCACAGAATTAAACAAAATAATGCTGCTACAGGAGAAAATTATTATTATAGTCACTAGGATGACTCATCCTGACAAAGGTTTTGATTTTCAATTTTCCATGCAACTTTAAGTTGAGATGAGGTGTTACAATTTAATTCTAAAACTGAACTCAGGTAACTGTATCATCAGTACAAAATGCAAGTTCCACATTCATCACGATATCAACTTAGAGACCCTGATGCCAAAATGGGAAGAGCTTCGTCACTGTAGTGGTGGTGATGGGAGAACAGGCTATTCTAAACATGAGGGAACTAAGAGAAATTTCAGTCTTCCTACAAGAAAAAAATGAAAGCAACCAAGTCATATCATACAAAAAGAGCATGCTAAATCACAATATGTAAATTATGCCTTTGAGACTCACGTTTCTCCTGGACATAAAGATAGCCTTCCATTGTCCACTGGCTGGGTGGTCTGTAGTCTTGGTTGGCAGATTTCATCCTCTGCATCAACCGCTCTACTTCTTGGCGAGTACTTTCAAAATTATTTCTTGTCTTAAATAAACAAACAAACAAAAAAAACAAAACATTTTTTTCATTGTTTCCTACCAGTTCTGAGGAACCCCACCACTAAAATCTCAAAACTGCAAATGGTACAAAAAACATAACTCAGATTCTTTCAGTGTCATTTGCCACATCCATGATCCTGGTTGATGTTCAGTCCTGTGGTCTAATTTCAAATCACTGTAGTGGAAACTTTTTGAATGACCTTCCGTACTGTTTCTCCTTTGGATCCGTGAGAGAGAGAGAGAGAGAGAGAGAGAGAGAGTGTGTGTGTGTGTGTGTGTGTGTGTGTGTGTGTGTGAAAGAGAGAAGGGTGGGGGGGGATTTCATACTCTAATATTACTTAAAAGGTAAATTTAGCAATTAAAAATAAGTACGATTCATTAAATACAGTTTTGAATTCCCTACTCTCTATGACAAAAAGTAGATACATAGGGATTTGATTTTTTAGAAGTTAAAAAAATGATATTTTTGATTATAAGTGGTGCTGAATAAATCAAGAAAACAGTTCACCGTTCTTGTTCCAAAAGCTTTGTTAAAGAAACATCATATGGTTTGGTTTTCAGAAATACTAACATAGTTATTTAGAGATTAGTATATGAATTAAGTCATAAAAATTAATAGTCTTCCAAGTCCTGACATCTTCTGCAAGATATAGTTTACCCACCTTCCAGCAAGTTTACTTAAGCTGTAGAAAGCATCATGCTTTTCTCTATAAAAATCTCTTTTGCATTCAGGACACATTACCTTAATAAGAAGTGTCTGAAAATATAAAAATCACCACCTAACTCTAAGATCTTGTTGTGRTACATGATAAAAGTACTGAATTTCAAATCAGCTTAAGAAATTTTTCTTGTGAATTTTYGGCTACTTTTCTCATAAGAATACAGAATTCAGTATTTTTACAATTTCTTCCTCTTCTTCTATCCATGAATCACTAGAAACTTAACACAATTGAATTTAATATGGAAATAAATCATAAAAATGCTATGGCTTTTATAATTTTCCTTTTTAATATTTACCCAAAAAGTCCGAATGTATTCCATGTTGAAAAACAATAGGAAAAAGTGAAATTAATTCTTCCAGAAAATCTAAGTTAAATAAAAGTGAAAACTCAAAACACAAATAGAATAAATCCAATTATATATTTCTCATGGGACATTCCAACTCTGTATTTTTACTTATGAACATCTCTATAATGGTAAGATCCAAATAAGCAGAAAAACACTTTTTTTTTAATAGAAAATTAAGTACGATTGTCCTAAATGATTCTGGCTAGAGTAAGAGTGTTTCAGTTACAGAAAAACCTCAACCATCGGGAGGACCTCACTCTTTTTTTTTTTTTTTTTAATTTATTTATTTATTTATTTATTTATTTTTATTGGTCGTTCATAACATTACATAGTTCTTAATACATCATATTACACGGTTTGATTCAAGTGGATTATGAACTCCCGCTTTTACCCCGTATACAGATTGCTGTATCACATCAGTTTCCCTTGAACAAGGCAGAAATGGGTTGGCTATTTGCTCTTCTTTAATGGCTATTGCTTAGTATTTGGAAATCAAAAATTATAAAGTTGTGAAAGCAGAGATTAAAAGGATTGGTTAGACTACTTCACAAGATAAACCTCAGAGAAATGGGCTGTTTGGAAATAATTTTTGCTTATGCTTTAAAGCAGTTATTTTGAATGTTTCAAAACCACATTCACTATTCATATTATTTGAGAATAATAAATATCACATATTTTTATTCTCCCTCTTCACAGAGAGATGGGACCTGAGAATATTCATGTTTAATAATATCATTTCACAAATGTAGAAATGTTGCTATCTCAACAGATAAGACTTGCCCAAGGTCAATCAGTATCTTTTTTTTTTCCAGCTTTGAGGTACAAATGACAAATAAAAATTGTATATATTTAAGGTGTATGTGATGTTTTGATAAAGTATACACCATGAAATGATTTCCACAATCAAGTTAATTAATATACATAGTTAACATTTGTGTGTGTAGAACATTAAAATTCTACACTAACAAATTTTCAGTAAATTCTAACAATACTGTTATTAACTATTGTCACCATGCTGTAAAACAGATCTCTAGAATTTATTCATCCTGCATTAGCCAGTAAATTAACAAGAACATTGAATAAAGGCAAAAAAAAATGCTGGCTTAAATATTTTTTAACATAAACGGTGTTCTTTTATGTTATACTTTTTACCTAGCAGCTAGAAAAAAATGTATTTTTAATACAGTGACTTTTTTAAATTATTGAGGTTTACCCTACCTAGACAAGTTTTTGAAAGATTTTTCGGTTTGACTTGGTTACAAATAAGTTCTCCTGTGATCATCAGATTCACTGAGGAAAGGCAGGAAGAACAGCTATAAACTTACATTCTGCAAGTTGAACTGTAGCTGTTGCTTATATGGTGCAAATTCTTGGGCGAGTTCATATCCCTCGTGGTAAAAAGTAAATAAACCCTGAAGGAATGACAAAAGCTGCAAAGATAAAGAGATTTTAAAAAGCACGAAAATTTGTTTTTGAAAACATGATCATCAAATGTAAAATACTGAGGAAATACTATTTCATTGTAATTTTTCAATCCAACAAATGTTCAACCTTTTTGTTTGGTAAGGCAAGCAACATAGTTATGGTTGTAAAACAGAAACCACAAGAACCAATTTTCATTTCCTTTTTATAGATAGTGATTTAAATTTTTTTGAGTCTGATGGTATCAATTGTCATGTTAACTACTTTGCTATTCAAATGTACTGAAGAAATATCCACAAGAGACCACAAAATGGAATAAAGAACAAAATGCCACAGGTTTTACCCTGGAAAAGCTTCTTACCAAAACAAGCAAGTAAAACACAAATGTAAGGAAGACTCCATCTGTAAATCACAGATAAGAAGTGCTCAAGGGAAGAAATGAGTTTAAGCCAGAGAAAAGTTAAGGAGAGTGTCACAAGGTGGCAGTACTGATTTTGCTATGGAACTGAGATCTTTCAGCAAGGAGTAAGAAGAACCCCTAACAGTCTGTGTTAAGCAAAAACATGAAAGTAGATTACACAGGTCTTTCCTATCAGACTTAGAGTAAAACCTTCTTTAGAAAAACTACAATTTCCACCCAGAGTTCCAGCCTTCTAATAATCAAATTCACTGGTGTTTATTATGTTCTTATCTATAAAAAAAAAGGACTGGCTCTCCATGGAATTATGGGATACTTATGTTTACATAGAATAAGTTACATTTGAAAAATAGTTGATTTTTTAAAATTGAATTTGCTGAAATTTTACTCTACAGACTCATCCACTAAGTTGATCTCTCCCACAAATACTTCCTGGTACAAAGTTAGAAATATTTTTGCAAAGTAGCTTGTAATATGTCTGCAATTTATTAGTTTATATTAAGGAGGAAATGCAACCTGCGGCCATTTTCATATGTGAATAGCATCTTGACATTTCCTGGACTTGGGGAGAACTAGGTTAAGCATCAACTGTTCTGTGTGCTGTGATTTCCAACAGAAGTATTGGTTCTATTGGAAAACATGACCTAATACTTTTCTTCCAATAGAAAAGTCAACATCATACAAAATCAGTAAATTGTTTTGTTGTTTTAGTTCAAGGATCTTTCTTCTCTTATTCAACAGTTCCCAATATCATGACGAACTGTACTATTTGCCAATTTTGGAATAATTTTATACTTGCAGCATTATATTAATTAATAATTATTATCAAAACTCAGTACTCAATAGATTATCCTAAATTGATGCTATAATCTGTTTGTCAAATTATTCAATAAGACACTTAGTCTGGCTGGGAGCAGTGGCTCATGCCTGTAACCCCAATGACTTGTGTGGCTGAGACAAGGAGGTCAGCCTCAGGGACTTAGTGAGACTCTCAGCAACATAGTGAGAGCCTGTCTCAAAATAAAAAATAAAAAGGGGCTGTGGAAGTGGCTCAGAGGTAAAGTGCCCCTGAGTTAAATCCCACCATCCTCTGCAAAAAAGGCATGCAGTTTGCCCAGATGTGTATACTATGGCCCAGGTAAACCAAAATGGAGCTTAAAATACCTTTAATTAGACTTTGAATATGTAGATTTAAAGCTTTTTAGAGATAAATAGAAAAATACTTCTGGAACACAGATAGCACTAGTCCTCTGCATATCCATTTAATAGCTTATGAAGCTGCTGGAGGAGTATTATTTCATTTTTTAATATCTATAATTAGTCCATGATTAAACTGCCTCATTATGAACTGGATGCTGTATGAAGCAGATGTTATTTTAAAATCTTCATAAGCACAAAAGTTAATTAAATTTATAAAGAAGATACTTTAAGAAGACCTGTGATAAATCTTTCTATAAAATACCTAATGCCCTGAAATTCATCTCTTAATATTCTGAGAGCATTCAGAACATGGGAAAAGACAAAGCACCTCAATATTTCAGTAAGAAGTAAACCATTCTGAATGAATAGAAGCAAGAACATTACTGAAAATTCAACAAATGGGCAGTTCTAATCTTTAGGCTTATACTGTATGTGAACTGCTCTATCCTGGCTTGACACCCCAATCCTAAATTTATGTGATATTTCAAAAGAGTAGACATCTGAAGAAGATACTGGGTGTTCTCTTCTGACTCCTGGCTGTGTGACACCTCCTCAACCCAAAGGGTCTCCTGATGCTGACTGCTTCACGGAGCAGCACATGGATCCCCTAAGTAAAACTCACTTATGCAAGTATTTTCACATAAACTTTGACAAACCAACATTTTCCATTGAGCTCTACTGTTTAATGCTTAATTGTGTTTTTAAAAGAATGATTCTGGCACCTCCATTTTGTTCAGATTATATCCTTTTAAAGGCAGCAACTTTAGTCAAGATGAAAATGGAGTCATTGGTATCTTCTAGAAGGATTCAGATTCACTTAGCAGAAAAAAAACGTTTTGATAACAGCATAGGCTGAGTACAATTCTATGGAAATTTCTAGGTGAAATTCTATGTACAATTCTATGGAAAGGACATAAAAATTGTAAACTAAGAATCATCTACCTTTTTATTCCATCTTCCATAGCTTTGGAAACAGCTTTTAATAAAGGTAGTGCATGTAAAATAACTGCCTCTAGATGGCAGCAAAGTGAAACTTTTTGTAGTTTTCCATCTCTACTAGTTCATTTTGTCTTTGACAATTTCCATGATGTTAAACCACAGGAACTTAATAGGACATTCTGAAAACTGTCAAGAGTTGTACAATGTCATACATATTTGGTCAATGTGTCTAAGTGRCTAAGATGTTGTGGAAAATACTAAGGTATCAGTTTACCTTAAAGTAAATCTCACCTTCAGGTTGTTAACAGTAATAATGAAAGCAATTGTAACAGTTTTTAATATTAAAAAAATTTCATCACTGAGAAAATATCATTTAGCACTTTATTAATTCCAAGAGTTTTAGAATCACCTATTTTTCACTTCAATAACCGGAACAAAAGTAAAAGTCAATATTACATTTATTGATAAATAATCATTTAAAAAGTGAGCCAATGAACAAACCTTCATAATCTCCCAGTCCATTAATCACTGGACTACTAAGTGCAGTATGGATGTAGGCACTTTCAAAATGTTCCAGCTTAAAAGGCCCACAGAGAGCCACAATACATAACAGAGAAAAGTAAGAGCTGAGAAAAGGGACCAGAGATGGCACAGAGGCTAAGGGAAGGACTCTGTAGCAGATCACTCTTCCAGATCACTGTTGCCAAAACTGAGTGGAACTGGGAATGTAAACAGTATTAAAATGATGTGATTCATTCCTGCATGCTTGCCTTCTTTCCTGAATGGTAATAATTATGGTAAGCAATCATTTTCTTTAGACTATTAAATCCTAAAAGTAGAGATGTCCCAGCTTCACAGAGCAACACTGCCAATCATGCTCCAAATTTGTCCTTTGACTTGAGAGACCTCACAATCAATACGTATAGAGCATTCCTTGCAGCCTTACCAATGGGGTAAGAGAAGCTATCAAATATAATTCACTGCTTATCTCTGAAGACTAAAAAAAATATATAGAACACATTTTATTACTAAAGATTAATCGCTGACCTAGTGCCCCTGTAGTTGACATCATATTTAATGCTGAAAGGCTGGATGTCCTGCTCCCTCAAGCTTGGGAACAAGACAAGAATGCTCACTCTTTTTTTTTTTTTAATTTTAATTTGTTATATATGATAGCAGAGTCCCTTACAATTCACATTACACATATAGAGCATAATTTTTCATATCTCTGGTTGTAGAGTCACACGATTTGTGTCTTCATACATGTACTCAGGGTAATAATCATCATTTATAACCCCATGCCCCTCCCCATCCCTCCCTCCCCTTCGCCTTATCTAGAGCTTGCCTATTCCTCCTATGCTCCCCCCAACAACCACATTATGAATCAGCGTTCTTATATCAGAGAAAACATTCTGCATTTAGTTTTTTGGGACTGGCTAAATTCACTTAGCATTATATTCTCCAACTCCATTCACTGACCTGCAAATGCCATGATTTTATTCTCTTTTAATGCTGAATAGTATTCCATTGTGCATATATACCACATTTTCTTTATCTATTCATCTACTCATGGTTAATAYTGCACTCCAGATTCTCCTTATGGTAAATAGGCAAGTTAAAAAACAAACAAAAAACAACAACAAAAAAAAAATCCAGRCTAGAATGAAAACAGAAAATTTGCAAATGCCATAATCTTGTATATACAAAATCCTAAGGAATCCACTATAAAACTACTAGAATTAATAAGCAAGTTCAACAAGATTGCAAGATGAAATTTTTTTTAAAGAGAGAGAGAGAATTTTAATATTTATTTATTTATTTATTTTTTAGTTTTCGGCAGACACAACATCTTTATTTGTATGTGGTACTGAGGATTGAACCCAGGCCGCACCCGTGCCAGGCGAGCGCGCTACCGCTTGAGCCACATCCCCAGCCCCAAGATGAAAGATTAATATATAAAAATCAACTGAATTTCTACATACTTTGCAATGAACAACCTGAAATTGAAATTAAGAAAATTCCATTTTACATTGCTTTACAAGGACTAAAATGCTTAGGGATTAATTTACCAAATATTAATTACTTAAATGCATTTCACAAAGGAAGCACAAAAAACATAAATATAAAAACTATATTCTGAAAACTATCAAACACTGCTAAAGAAAATTAAAGATGGTCCAAATAAATGGGAACTGTCTCACATTAATGGATTGGAAAACTGAGTAAACTGAGTTAGTAATACAGGAATATTCTTCAAATCGATATACAATCTCTAACAGAATTTCAACTAACACCTTGTAGTAACTGATGTGCTGATTCTAAAATTCATGTGAAACTGCAAAGGACACTAGCCAATCAAAACAATCTTTAAAAAAAAAATAAGAAGATTTCACTTCTTGATTTCAACTTTTAATTCCAGTCACCGTAATGAACAGAGTGTGTCAGTGGCACAAGAAGAGACATATAAATGAACAAAATGGAACTGAAAGTTTACAAATAACACCCATACATTTCCAGTCAACGGATGTCTCATAAGACCACCAAGCCATACAATGGAAAGAGAACAATCTTTTCAACAGAAAGACAATGAGTTCATGGGATAACCAGATAACCACATTCAAAAGAATGAAGTTGGATCCCTATCTCATATCACAGAAAAAAAAAAAACTGAAAATGGATCAAAGACCTAAATAATGTTTAAACTATAAAGCACTTAGAAACACTTGAATAAAGCTTCATGATCTTGCATTTGGCAATGAATTCTTAGATATGACATCAAAAGCACAAATACAAACAACAGAATAAACTTGACTTTAATCAAAATTAAAAGCTCTTCTGTTTCAATGTAAGTTGTCAAGAAAATTGAATTGAATGAAAGTCCACAGAATGGTAGAAAAAACTTGTAAATCATTTATCTGATAAGAGACATATTTAAAATACAGGAAGAACTCTTACAACTTCATAATAAAAAGACAACCCAGTTTAAAAACAGGCAAAAAAAATTTGAATAGCTATTCCCCCAAAGAGGAAATATAAATGGTCAGTAAGTATTTATAAAGATCTGCTACACATGATCTACATCAATGTTCAGGTCTCATTTACATATTTCTCCCTACTGAAATGGATACTGCATAAAACTCCATGTATGACACGGTAAGGCTAGAAATGAGGATGAGACTAAACTGACACTATTATTTGGTTTGGCCAGACAGTCTAACAGGAAAAACACAGCAGCCAAGAAAATACTGTGCAATGACAAATCTAACATCATTTCTGATTGTGGTGTCAGAAGAAAGGCATGTTGCAGAGGACTTGTCAGAACACCCTGGTTTGGGATAAGGTAGAAGAAGGAAGAAAATGCATTTCAATTAGAGACAGCTTCCACTTCTGTGCATGTATTTTCACAGGAATTCATAAATTCTTATCATTCCTTCTGCTGCCTGTGAGCAAATGATTTTACCATCTTCTCTTTACACATTTGGTGTCATCTTATAGAATGGTCTAGTTCACTGTTCGCAGACAGAATGGGCTATAAAGAGACTTAGGGAAGTAGGCTATCCCCTGTCACTCTGGAAGAAAGGATGGTATACAGATGTAAAGAGATCATTCCAGGTGTGGGGAGGAATAACAGCATGGAAAATGAGCCAGGTCTGAAGGAAATGGGACACATAAGGAAGAAATATGTAGGAAAGTTGTCAGAATTAATGGGGTCTGACAGTTTGGTGTCAAAAAAGAGCTCAGATTCCAAAAATACCAGGAGGGAGGCACTAGGGAAAGAAGTTTGCCAGCAAAAAGTGGGGGCTGAGAAGCCACGGTGGGATTCTGAGGCAGTTAGTCCATGTGAAGAGACCAGGAATCGTAAGTAATGGTCTTCATCCTAGAACTGAGGATTGTTAGGCTGACAAGTTGTCCACAAACCCTCCATGGGCTTCCAAAGGCCCCCTAAATTGAATGAAGTTTAATCAGATCCTCAAAGGGTCTAGGGCCTGAGTTACCAATTCATTCTAAGGGATTTAAGGACTTAGCTGTCTGGCAAACAGAATTTGGACTTAAGTCTGTTATCCCCAATAAAACATAAAAGTGAAATCCTAAGCCTGAGTTATGGCCTGTAGTTCTTTTAATCCCAGCTCAGGGAGTGGCCTGACAAACTTGCCAAGTGCCAAGTTTCCAGGAGAGAGTAAAACGGCTCCAGCAAAGCGGAAGTCCTGGAAGCCAGGCAGGGACCAATGCTTCCCACCCGTCTTGGCTTTATCTCAGTTTCTCATATCTTTAGGGCATCACAGGTGGGTTCCCATTAGGAAATAAATTATGTCAAACACATTTTAAAATGTTATCATCCCTTCCCTTCTCACTGTCACCGTCACTGAAGTGGGAACAAGGTATTTCATTTTTATTTTAAATGACATTTTAAAGACTGGCACAGGAAGAAAAGAATGGCTGAAATTAAATATCTGATTACTTATAAATTTATTAATCCTTGCTTTTCATCTCATGAGAATTGAGATATATCTATAGCAAAAGAGTACCTTGACTCCTGAGCCCACCTCTACTCCTCACTGCTGCCACCTTACAGAGATGCTCATTTAAGCAATGCTGTAACATATTAGGGTGTCACTTTTAAAAATGTCAGGAAAATGAAGTAAGCTTGCAAAGACCAGCCACCTGTTCTTTCCTCTAATGTGCTTTACACTAAGGAATCTGTTACTTTTTACACTGACTTAGAAAAATAAATGGCTTCACGGGAAAAGTCAGGCAGATTCCAGTTCTATAAGGAAAGGGAGAAAGAACAAAGGGAGAAAGCGGCCTCTGTTTTTTTTTTTTTTCCTCTTTACCTAAAGGTTTGGCATATGGGGCACTTTACTGGTGGGGTTCATTCGTGTGCAGGTAATGTACATCATTTTTTAGAATAATGTACTTCATTCTTAGAGCAGTTTTAGGTTTACTGAAAAAAAAAAAAACTGAAGGGAAATACAGAGAGCTCTCCCATACACTCCTTCCCTGGCACTCCCCCACATATATAGCTTCCTTTATTATTAATATGTTACATTTCTGTGGTGGGCTGATTACACCTGATGAGCCAATACACTTACATTATTACTATTATTAACTGAATCCATAGCTGACATTAGGGATCACTTTTTGTACAGCACTTTCTATGGGTTTTGACAAACGTAAGACACTCACCAATTATCACACTATCAAACAGAAGAATTCACTGCCCTAAAAGTACCCTGTGCTCCACCTATTCATCCCTTATGCACTCACCTCCTTTTATTTTTACAAATAATAATTTCTTTTCAGTAACAAGGATTGAACTCAGGGGCACTGGACCACTGAGCCATAACCGCAGCCCTATTTTGTATTTTATTTAGAGACAGGGTCTCACTGTGTTGCTTAGTGCATGGCTTTTGCTGAGGCTGGCTTTGAACTCACAATCCTCCCACCTCAGCCTCCTGAGCTGCTGGGATAATAGGCATGTGCCATTGTGCCTGGCTACAAATCATAATTTTTAATAAGAATACACTGTAAAGGTTTTTTGTGTTGATTGTGTTGATCCTATTAATTTACAGGAAAACTAAGCACTTACCGGCTCAACAAATTCAAACTTCTTCTTTTCCTGAACTTCTTGAATTTTAAAGACATACTCTAATGATGCTTCGTAGAAGTTTTGATGTTCACGGTCAATCTGTGTATCTGCCTAAAGAGTGAAAAATAGGCAAAGCTTGATACAAGGAGTGATTACTGATGGACTGTCAGTATATCGAGAGGAATTCAATTTATATATTACTCCAAAGTCTTCTTTAAAAGCTAATTCCTGCAAAATGTGTTAATATAGCACTTATTACAGTCCTTGTTCACAAGCGATTATAGCATATGGAGTTGAGAAGCATCCAGAGACACAGCATAAAACAGTACGATATATAATAATCTAAGACATATTAGTAAGTAAAAAAAAAGTATAGTAAAAAATTACAAAAGAGGCATTTTAAAGATTGCAGTTAAAGTTAAAACTGCTTTGCYACTGAGCCACATCCCCAGTCCTCTTTTTTAGACCTGGCCTTGTAAGTAGCTGAGTTGGCCTCAAATTTGTGATTCTCCTGCAGTAGCCTCCCAAGTCTCTAGGATTACAGGTGTACACCACAGTGCCCAGTTTAAGTTGAATCTTAAGATGAATAATTGACAGTGAATCATCCAAAAAAAAAAAAGGAAAAGGTAGGAGTCATTCTCATAAAAAAACAAGCATGAAAAAATGTGAAGAGTTGGCTACAGAGTAAATACACGAAGGAAGCAGGGAAAATCAGGTTAGCATCACACTAAGAAAGATCTAGCACACTGAATAACAAAGATAGATCTTAATCAAGGAAGAAGCATCTGAGAATATTAAGCAGGAGGACTACATCACTAGGTAAAATCTTTGAAAGATAATTCAGTAGCAGAGCCAGAATAAATAAGTAAATAAATAATCAATGGATATAACCTGACGAAGTGTACTCCATCATTGCTGGGCACATTTATTCTTTCTGATTGCAATAAGGTTCTTTTGATAAAGAGATCATTTCAGTTTCTTTTTGACTTTGCCTCTCCTTCCCTTTTCTAGGATGGCTAACATCCTCAGATACACTCTTTTGTTGTGTGTTTGCATGTGTATGTGTGTGTGTGTGTGTGTGGTGTGGGTGGGTRTATGTATGTATGTGGTGCTGGGGATTGAACTCAGGGGCAGGCACTCTACCAACTGAGCTATATCCCCAGCCCCTCAGATGCACTCTTGAGAAATGACTTTAGTTCTGTGGAGAGACAGGATTCACTTTTCCTGCCCAGCTTCATACTCCTAGCTGCCAGCTGAGATTACTAAAAGTAGATGAAAAGGATGGGCTCTCTGGAATACACTGTCCATTAGCAATCTGGGAAGAGAAAACTGCTTTGGAGCCATTTACAATGCTAATTTCACAAACAAAAGCTAAAAAGGAAAGAAATAAAATTAAGTTTCTTAGCTGGGGCATCATAGCACCACAAGACTTCATATGTAAATCCTTAAAAAATTACATACTTATTATGCACTTATTTATATAAAAAATAACYCAATATTATCAGCAACTTGTTGGGATTTTTAAAGTTGAGGATTCCAAGTTTATAAACTAATACATGTGAAATTACATAACTCATATAGAATATTTGAAATAAAAACTTCTGAGCCCTCAAAGATCATTTAGGAAAGGCAGGTACCACTAAAACAAAGATCAGTATTTCACATAAACCATCTCTTTTCTTCTTCCCATCACTTAGGGAACCAAACTATATATAAGGATGAATTAAGTGAATAATGAGAGGTGGTGGTACATATAGTACATGTTTAACAACTGCCTCTTTAGACAGTAAAGCCTGATTTGAAGTTAGTTGCTGTTTTTTTATGGTGCAAATTGTCCCAAAATGGCCAGTTTCAAACCACAAACCCACTATCACTGAATGCAGGAATTAGAGATTGGGCTCTCCAGAGGAAGCTTCAGTGTACTACTTACTAGGTGAGAGATGTAAGAAAATTTTCAGTTTCCAAGGCAACATTCTATTATGCAGGTTATTTTATTCACTTTAAAAAGATGTTATTGATTGTGCTATGTAGCACATGGAAGAAACTAGAATCCGGAGACACCTTTAGAGACTAAAGTGGTTATTTCTAATCAACAGGTGGTCCAGAAAAGAGTTAGTACATCAATCCTGTCTGCAGCCTTTTGAAAGGTCTGCTTACGAGGTTGGCTGGTGTCCCATGTCTGGGAATATGAATTTCAGGATTTTCATCACTAACTGGTAAGAATGGCTCATGTGTCTAAACCATTTGTGCAAACAATATGGTGTATACTGAACACCTTCTTTCAAGAGCCTGAAATTTGGGTAAATTCCAGGCAGAGTTCGTATGTGATGTTTCTCCAATAAAAACCCTGGGCATGGAGCCTCTTGAGTAGTCAGAACTCGGCGCTGGGATGTTGAGCACGTCCTATGAGCCTCCAATAAGAGAAGACTCCTAGAAGGTTGCATCTGGCTTCTCCCAGATTTTTCTCCATGCATCTTTTCCTGTTGCTGATTTTTCTTTCTATTCTATTGCTGTAATAAATTCTACCATGAGAAGGACTATACATGTCTTTCTATGAGTTCTCCTAACAAATCACTACTATGGTGGGTGTCATGGGACCCATGAGACAAGAGTATTATATAATTTCTTCAGAAATTTATTTGCCAAGCACAGTATCATTCCACACCTCTCAAAAGATGGGGGTGGGATAGAAAACAAAGGATTAAAGAGAAATAATAATTCTTGCCAGCTATACAGGTTTTCAAACACTTATCATCTAGATAGATAATGGAAATCCCATATACCAAAGGTGCTCGAAAAGGTCATCCAGAGTGCACAATGTTTACGGAATATGACAGTGTCATTTCTTTTTGTTGTAAGATTTTTAAAAAAAAATCTTATATAAGTGCTGTTAGTACATAAAATAACGGCAGTTCACTAGCCAACACTTGATTATAAACCTTGTAGAAAGTGGTAGTTTACATTTTGTATTGGATTAGTAAGGTAATAATATGATTTATCATTTACACTGGGAGAATTTTAAATACAACTAGCAATAATTATACCAGAACAATAGGTGTATACTGTTGTTTATACCTGTAAAGTAAGAAACCAAATTAATTTCGTAAGAAAACCATACAGTTCTACAGATTACCTAAATTCCTCCCTAACTACAATAAGCTCTCTGATTCAAAATAGGGGGAAAGTCTCATGTGATATTTGATAAATCATCTCCAAAGGAGAAAAGATTTAAGATGGGCTCTTAAAAATAGAGATATCTAGAGTAGGCAGAGATAAATGACAGGAGTTTTAAGGCAGAGAGTCGAGAAATCAAAAATTATGTTTCCATGGATCAAAAGGTTTGTAACTTAACAATTGGTATGGAATAATCAGAAATGGCAGATAAGGTAGCAAAGACAGAAAGCGTGAAGACTACACCCTATTGACAGTGCTAAACCTTGAAGAAGACTTTGACAAGATCCATGCTGCATTTCAGGAGGATTAACATGAGCTTTGTACAGAATAGCTTGATAAAATATGTGGCAGGGTACACATGAATGTAAGATGTCTTATTGTTAATGGTAAAAGCATCTGGTGCACCCCCACAAGAAAGCTAAGTAGAAAGAAGTGAGCATGAAAAGCAAGGGAAAAGTCAATGATAACTGACACAGAAATAATAACAATATTAACAGATAATTAAGGAAATTGAAAATAGGAGCAAATTTGAGAAAGATGGTGATGTTTAAGATTTTGCATGTGTCACCAAGTGGTAATCTAAAGTGGTAATCTGGGCATTTTAATCTGGTCACGCATAACATTGTGACCTGAGAGACATTATAGGAAAAAAGGAAGAAGGAGAAACTTCAAGGGCAAATTGCAGGATAAGAACAGAGGTACAAGAACTGAATCTAAGGGATTTGCTTTACTGAGGCAGTGGGGATAAGAGGAATCTCTTCAAAGGGTTATCTAGTGATACCCCTTTACTTTTTCTTCTACCTATAAAGGAAATAAAAATCCATTATTATAAATTCATTATTYATTACTATAACACAGAAATGTTAAGAGTTATAACCCCATTCTTAATATTTTGATGTATAACACACAGTGATATATACAATACACCTACCTTACAACAAATCTGGGGTATTACTGTATATTCTGGTTTAAAAATTATTTTCCAATGTAAGATGGATAGTTCTACCACTTTACATGGTTTCTTACTGAGATTTTATATATAAATTACAAAATGTACATCTAATAAACATTACTTAATAACTTTCAGTGACTGTCCTTAATCATATCACACTCAATTTTTGGTCACACTATATTTTTCTATTTACCCCAATTATTCTTCTGTGCCATTTTAGATGTTTCTCAACTTTTGCATTATGAATAATTTGTTTATGTATATAATATTTACACAGTTTTTATACTCACCTCTGATCATTTCTTTGGAGCAAATTCTTCCCAATAGAAATCATCTTATTTACCAGATACATCTCAGGTTTGTTGAAATATGATATCAAATTTACCTCAAGAGTGATTAGATCTTTTTATGTTTTCCAAAGGAGAACAAAAGTATGCACAGTTTCCCGTGTCTCCACTAACAATAGATATTATATTTTTAATGAACTAATAAGGACATCTTGTTATTAGCTTGTATTATTTAATACACGTAACACTGAAACAAGGTTCATTTTAGTTTATATTTCCTCTTTGATCAATTCCTTCTTGTATCCTTAGCTCATTTTTTCCACTGATTTCAAACACTTCTCATGTGTGAGAGATGGCAACACTATGTCATAAGTTGTACAAATTTCCTAATGCATTGTCTTTAATTTGGTTTAATGTCTTTTTGAAATAATTACTTATATGCATGTAGGCCTTTCTCTATTTCCTTTATGATCTCTTTATTCTATCCTCAGAAAGTAATTATTCATTCACATATTGAATATTATTTCTTTTYATCCATTATACAGCCTGTAAACTTGATATGCTTGTTTTCCATTCAACAACCGTTCACTTCAATGACCTGTCTAACGGATGGCCCTGGAACTTCATCAACACAAGCTGACCTTTCAATTTAGGGCTGGAACTGGCCAGCCACTTATTTTCTATGAGCAAAATGAATAAAGAGACAGCTATGCAGGTGAGCAGGCACAGAGGGGTCTTTGTGAGAACAAACTAATGAGCTTGGTGCTGACAGAAGGGCCAAAGCTGCTCTGGAAAGGAACAGATGACATTTAAAGCCATGTCACAGGACTAAATGCAGTTGTGGCAGAATCTCCTTATAACAGGTCTGACTCCTGGAAGCATGGGGGGTGAAACTTCCCAAGCCACATTTTTCCTTGTCTATATTATATACCCCCAAGGAGCTGCTTTAACACAATTTAAGTTAAGTTGTGTGGGCGACTGTGCCTCCTGGCAAAGAAGTGTGTGTATTTTTTTATGTTTGCAGAGTGAGATGAAGAGGCAGACATTACTAACAATGCTATAATCTTTTCCAGCCCCCAACTAAATACAGAGTACATATTCTATTATGTCATAGCCTAAGGGACTGAGGCCACTAGCAAGGAAATTAATAAATACTGAGCTAAATTGTCAGGAGAAATTGAAATACAGCCTTTAGGGGACTTTAGAATAAAACTATCACTTCCTTGAGATGGTTTAAGAAGTGTCTTGACTAAAAGGGGCTTCTCATATTCACCAAGCACCTGAAGTTCAGTAGGAACTCTAAAAACCACCTTTGATTTTGAGGCAGGCAAGTTTTTAAATGGCACCTGGCCACTGTCCTTAGTATGGCAGATGCCGGGTACTGGTGACAATTAAGGAGCCTCTGTCCACTGCCATAATATAATCTCTTTCTCTCTAAGGTTTATGCTAATGATGTATAAATAGAAATATAAGCACTTAAACATTTGGGAACATGTAAATGAAATTTTAAATAACAATAAGCAGTACCAAACCCTTGTAAAATTAAATGTCCAAGAAATTTAAAACAGAATCTATTTATTTTAATGACAGATGGTCTTTCATTTCACTTTTGTCCCAAAACCTTTCCATAAACACACAACCATATACTGAATTATGCTTTGTAAACAGCATGTTTTAATAATAGAAGGCATAGGTTAAAATTATGCGTAAACATTAAGCAAAACCAAACCTCTCAATCATTATTAACCAGCTATAAATGAAGAAATGGGGTGCTCTCAATGAGAACGTGTACATTTTTTTGGGAAAAAAAAAAGGAATCAGAAGAACAAAAATAACATTCCTAATCCTTTTTGACACTGTGAAAACTTTGTAATACTCCTAACTTATTAAGCATGACTTCTGGCTAAATTTGAAGGTATGGGAATTAAGTAAAAGAGTAAGGAAAGCAGAGGTCTGGGTTGAATTTGAAAGATAGTTCAGGAAGGGAGGAGGCTCTCCTGGGAGAAGGACCTGGAAGATACATATAGAAGATGCACCACTGGGATAGCTAGAAGTACAGTACCCAGATTCCCTATGAAGTTCTGGATGGTAGCAGTGAGCCCCCAGTAAGCCAACTTCACAACCCCAGCTCCCTCCACAGGACATGTCTGAAAGAACCTCAGGGTGGGGCTTCACGATTTTGCTGCTCTAATGACAAGGCAGATTTTCTGACATGTCCTATCACTGAAAATGAAACCATACTATTCCTTAGTGAAAGGACTACTCTTGACTTTACTAAATTACTATTAGTTTTCAGCCATGAAAAGATACTACCAATGGGAGGAACAAAATGTAACATATTTCAGACAAAGGGAAGAAATAGCTGCTAGCAGGTATATTTGTTAGTAAAATATTCCCATTCATTTGTTTTTAAAGAAAATTGATGTAAAATAATTGAGATTTTAAAACAAATGGTTATATAATGTTTTCCTTGAATTCAGAAGCAAAGCTTTAAAAGCAATGTGACAGATATTTTAAATTTAATGTAAAGGCAATAACATGAACTTGACAGGTCCTTTCTCCTTAAAATATGTCCAATAAAAAGAAAGGGGAAACGTCTTGTTTCAATTTTTCTCATTGTTTTGAGAAATACTAATCTCACTTGAAACCACTAATATTAAATGTCATAATGTATCTAAAGTAGCTGTCGATAGTAAGCTCAATCAAGTTAGCTAGTGTTATTGTTGTTTTATTAAAAGGTAGATTTTTAAGGTACTTCTAACTTTGAAATTTTTGACTTTATAGGACATAATGTTAATGTCCTTTTCTCATTTCAATTGGAAAAGCTTACCTCTTGCAAATGAGATTCCTTTTTCTTTGCTGACAAATTCAAATGCTTGTCAAGAATAGAATAGTATTTTTCACTCTCCTTGTCAAACTTCTTCTTTCCATCCTAGGGGATAACAATGACAACAAAAGAGATTCAAATTAGAGCATCAAAAAGCCTTCATTTTCACCATTCCCAGCAAGTGTCCAATAAAATCATTTAATAACAATTTAGTGAGTTACAATTGTATGCAAATCCTTAATCCAGTAGAGAAGTAAGAAGGATATGAAGCATATCTTTTGAGTATGCATTCAGTTCTCTAAGCAGCTTTCCAGCTTTGGGGAAGAAATATATGTACAAACATGAAAAGCTGCACCTCTGTGGGCACAGGAACTGATGTGGATAAGTGTAGCCTGACTACAGCAGACCCCTGGGGAAGTTCTGCAACCAACACCCCAAAAGATACTCTGATCTAGTAAGTCTGGGATGTGACTAAGAGGAATTTTTTTTTTTTTAATCTTTGGTGATACAGAGGAGTTAACAGATAACCAATATACAGAACTACTTTCATTGACTCTTTTCATAGCATAATATTAGTTTTCAGCCATGAAAAGATACCCAATTTTCAAACAACTTATTCTTAACAAGGAGAAAAACAGATTTTTAAAATTCTGGTAGCTTTAAATAATTAAGTAAGAAATTCAAAGTCAAATCAAGATAATTAACAACATCTTGAATCACCTACTCTGAATATAACTAATATCTGACTTTCACTTATTCCTAAAATCTCAGGGTTGTTTTTTTTGTGGGGGGGCGGGGGTAGGGGGTGTCAAACTGGGGGRAGATGTACCTGTAAAAAGGCAGGTCTTCTATGGAGGAAGGGAATAACTTTACCTATTAACTTAAGGCATGCTTTCACAGAAATACAAATGTAGGGAAATACTGAAGGGAACAGGACATATCTGGGAATGTAAACTTCTCCGATTATAAACATTGTACCCACCAGGTAAGTCTTTTCCACTCATGAGTCCATATTAAACAAACATTATAACTACACTCATGAGTTTCACTGGCTAAAGAAGTATAATTCCTTCCTTTTATTTCAGTGTCTCTGGAACTGCAATCTCTGTATCACCTGAATCTGAGTCAAGTGTCTGCTTTTATAAAACACAGATTTCTACCTTCCTTCAGGAATCACTGTCTTTTAGAAAACAAATTATATGATGGTTATACACAGTGCTTTGTTTCTTTACATGCTTGAATCCCAAGAAGGGTTATTTTAAAATGACAGATGGATGAATGAAGGGAGGGAAGGATGGAAAAAAAAGAGGGAGGTAGAAAGGAAGACCTTTAACTTAGGGGGTCTTCCCCACTATTCTGAGGTTATCAGATCCAGATTGATCTCTTAATGCTATTTTCACCCACTGGCATTCTGAACTTTCTTCTCAATCATATCTCCAGGAACACATCAAGATCTATTTCCACATGTGGAACTGTAGCAGGTGAGCTGGTAGAATTGAGTTGAATAAGAGTAGTAAGTATAGTTTTGCTCTAAAAGTTGTGAGTTCTAGGCTATTTAAGAAGCATAATGTCAGTACTCTGGATCTTGTTTGTATATTGAAGCATTACATCTATAAAAAAAAAAAACAAGGGAAATGTAAAAATGCTCAGGGATTTTTATTACCTAAGGAGAAAAGGGTAGTCTCACAAAGAGAAACACAGCTGGTCCTGCTGGCACACACCTGTAATCCCAGCGACTGCGGAGGCTGAGGCAGGAGGATTGCAGGTTTGAAACCAACCTCAGCAGCTTAGTGAGACCCTTAACAACTTAGTAGGACCCTGTCTCAAAAGTAAAAAATAAAAAGGGATAGGAATGTAGCTCAGTGATAAAATGTCTTTCCATCCAAAAAAAAAGATGTTTTAAGGAACTTACATAGCAAAATATGAAGTAGCAAACCCTACTCCCTGCAAAAAAAAAAAAAAAAAAAAAAAGAACAGAAGCCCAAGAATTTGGATGGGAAGACACATACTCTGCTGCTGAAGCAGACTCCCTGGTGAACATTTCATCTTTTGCTCAGTGGATATTCCTCTTTAATCTGATATTTCGTGTCTACAACTGACTTGTCCAACCTTCCTTTCCAGAGGTTTCTCTGACTAACTCCTTTTGAGCTCCCTATTCATGCTCCCCACCCCCACTAAAAGCCACTCACTCCCTGTGACATCAATGCTCATTTCTTCCACTTTCCACATACTCAAATTATAGCTACTTTTAGCTTCCAGTTCAAACAGAGCTCATTCACAAGTCCCTTCTATTAATTCYCCCCCTTTTGAATGCTCAAATATCTTTATAAATGGATCTTTTATGGTGTCCATGTTCTACATTGTAAGAGGGAATTTCATGTAGATAGCCCATGCACCTCAAACTGAATATCTAATAAGTGCTCAATAAATATTTAATGAGCAAGTGGAATTCTTTCTCTGATTTTATTTGCTCAACAAACTGTTACCCATGGTACAGAGGACAAACAGCCCAACTTAGACCCAATGGCACTTCTTTGGGGAACCAGCTGCATTTCACTTCAGGAGAGTGACTCACTTTCATCTGACAATAGGCACTCACAATTTCTCACTGGGCAAAGAAGTAGAAACTGGTTTCAGAAGAGGACACAGCTGTACTGACAACACTTGCATCTCTGTTTTCAGTTAGAGTTTGGTGAAATTTTTGGAAATGCTAATTCAGCACCAATACATTAGCATTTCTGGCAATACAAAAATCATTCCTAGAACCATTTCCTGGCCTCTTATTCAAACCTTGGCCCTTCACACAACCAGACTAGCAAAAGAGAACTACTCAAAGCTTCCAGTGATGTGGACAACAAAAACCCAYTCAATTGGAGCATAAAATTAAAAAGTGAGATGAAAGGCCAGACCACACAAAGGACAACTGTAATCTAGGGAGGCATGCTATAGAAAACAAAAGGCACTTCTCCCTGCAACTCTCACCACCCTCAAAGACCAGGATTTAGTCTCACATAAGCCAAGTCTTATTTGGACTTAGTAGCAGAACCCTGTACAGCTACCTCTTCTCTCTGTTGTTACTTGTTTTAGATATCAAACTAAGACTTTTCTGACACCAGTAGTGTTCAAGGAAACAAAAAATAACCCATAAATATTTACTTCATGCTCTGCATGATCACTGTCTTCTTATTGCTCTGGCAAGATTTAAAAGGATGGGGAGGAGTACATATTATCCTGGTGTGATCTTGTGCAATCCACAGTAAATGCATTTGAAGTAGGTAACCACTTGAAATCACAGTAAATTAATAAACTTGATGAAAAGAGAAAGGAAATAAAGTAGCAGGGGATACTCTAAGACATGCAAACATATATAAAGCAGTACTGTTTCTAGTTACATGTCTATGTAGATACACAAAGACATTGAGACAGAGGGCAACTACTGTATAATATAGTTCTAAAAATGGTAAATTAATCCCCAAACCTAATTGTATCCAGTTAAAAGTAAGTTACAGCTGGGTCTATGATCAGTTGGTTTCCCAAATACACTGCAGTTACCCTGAGCACAGTGATCATACTATCCCTTAAGCACTGTGGTCATGCTACACCATCATTTCATACACTGCATTGAAGAATGGGGGAAAAACATTACAGCACAAACCACAACTAGCAACTGCAGTATGAGAATTGCTACTGTTAACAAAAAAGTCAAATATTTATAAAATTTTAGGTACAGAATGTGTATGTGTGTGTGTGCGTGTGTGTGTGTGTGTGTTAAAATACACATGATTATTAAAACAAGACTAACCCAGTGCCTTCCACTGACCACAAGAGGGTACCAAAGATGAAGAACAGACTCTACCACAATGTTTAGATAATTCAAATAGAAATCCTTAAAATGTTTTCTAATCATAATTTTTTCATTGTTTTTTAATATAAAATACTACTACATCATGTACAACCACAGAATGGGATTCTAATTAGAATAAGTTATACACCATGCATGTATATAATGTCAAAATACACTCTACTGTCATGAATATCTACATGACAAAATAGTATAAAATAGAACAAATTAAGAAAAAAGATTACTATAAAGCTGTATTTTAAGTACCGGTACTGGTAACTTTTATCTTAATGTTAAATTATTTTAAAAACAAGGAAGTATATAAATGTTTTCTATATTTCTTTATAAAAATAGAACATACATTCAGGATTTATTCATCATATTTTCAGGAAGGCAACAATGCCATAATTGCCACTCAGATATTGTGAATTTCCCCATGCAGCTAATAATGCCATTATGTTGGTACAATAATGATCTACATAAGCATTATTTATGTATTTGGAAAAATCAACTTAATATATAACACTAGAAACAGTGGTATGAAAAATAATAATAAATACCAATAGGTAAATTTCTACTTCATAAACATAGGAAATTCTAATAAATTAGCACTAGACACTAAAATAAAAGAAAGAATAAGAGGAAGCCYCAACAACCACCCGAGAGTATATTTCTCCCTCTTCTGAGTCTGGGATCTATTCCCTTCTTAGAAGGACAGCCTAGTGTGGCATCAACATCTCTCATTCCCGGAAGTACCAGCTTTCAGGATGTTCCAACCACATGCTGCTTAAGTAACCTGCAGCCAAAGAGATTTTCAGAAGTCCCACTGGTTGAGAATCTCAGTGTAACTTAAACAGTAATGTCCTTCCTTTGGGTTATTACACTCAATGGTTCCTGGTCTTCCCAGCCTATTCTATATCAACTCCCTATCCACAATCTGCCGCAAAACAGTCAGTCATCTTAAAGAGCTTCTTCTTAGGTACTTGTGCCATCACAGTCTATCACATCTCCCTTTTCCCCATAACTTCACAACCAGGTGATTAGATTCTCAGGAATCAAAAGATTCCTTTTTGTATAAGGCATGACTACAAAGTGGATAGAATAATATGCAAACAGATAATAAGGCATATCAAGGGTAGAAAGAGACAATACAAAGAACAGGATACCCTGTTTGTTGTGTACCAAATTGTATAACATATGAAGGGTTGCTCAAAGCCATTGGTAACTGGAGAGAAGCAAACAAAAATCAACGAGCTATTCGTGT